CGATTCAACACCACATTGTGAAGGCTGTGCTGGAGAATATTAATCCTAACAAGGCCCAAAGATGTGACTTCGTTCTTCCGAGAGCAGTTAAGGCTTGTTCATCATCCATAGAAAAACCTTTCTGTGATCTCCTTAATAGCATCATCATCAGCTGTTCACAGGTACCTGACACGTGGAAGTGCGGACAAATCACACCACTCCACAAGAAAAGTAGTGTTTTTTGCATAGCTATTTATCATCAACGTATCGTGTGAAGCTGGGTGCTACCTGGACGGGTATGGTACTTAGGGTTCTACGGGAGTCTATTCTTGGACCCCTGTTATTTAACATTTTTATGAACGATGTCAACTTTGCTATCGAGAAGTACAACCTCAGAGTTATGCGAACGACACGGAAATTCCCCGGGGGGGCACTTTAGGAATTTCTGGGTGAGGATGTGCCGCTGGGACCCTGGAACCCTTAACCTATACCAGAGCTAGTTCAGCTGAATTTTGCTACCCTATACTAAAGTAAACTCCCCAAATCCCCCCTATCCTAGAGTAGCTGTTTCCCCAGTCTAGATAAAATCTTCAACCAACTGATCAGTTTCTTGAAAAATGATACCCTATTCTAGACCCAAACGCTCTGATTTATATACCCTATCCTAGAGTAAACTGCTTGAAAACCATACCCTTCACAGCGGCACATACCTATATAGCCCATATATGGCAGTACCCCCCCCCCCCGGGGAAAATTCACACTTCTGATCCCAATGCCCTGGCCGTTGAGAAGGAAATAAATAGGGACTTAGCCAACTCGCTATACACTGGTTATGAGGGCGAAGGCCTGAAAAGTATCAGGCTCTTGTACTAGGAAACACTAATCATTGTGTAACTATCAGATATGCGGGTAAACGCACTGATCCCCATATTCAAAGATATCAGGTTATTGGGTGTTACACTTAAGCAATAGAAAACGTTTTTCGTGTTTGCATAGCCTGATATAAACACAAGAGGAGTTGGGAGAATTCGAGACAGTTATGCAAACCCGAGACGAAGTCGAGGGTTTGCATAACCGTCGAGAATTCTCCCAACCCCTCGAGCATTTATATCAGGCTATGCAAACACAGGAAAAGAGTTTTCTATTGCTTTTATACAATGACTTTCCCGAGAAAAAAACGCAAAACTCTTTGTATGGCACTGATTAAAAGAGAAATTCTTACCAGTCGCAAAATCTTGTCCACGAAGTCTTGAAGGCGTAATCAGTTCTTGTTTTGCAAAAAGATGCTTTGAAAAATACGGATTTTTCTCGCTTAAAATGTCAACTTAAGCGAAGAAAAATTGACTCGCCTTCTTTGTAACGATTTTCCATGTTTCAGCCGACGAAGGAATGGGTAAATAAAGTAAACTTGTCGAGTTTTGAACTCGAAAACTTTTTCAAATTCGTGCTTGCGTGATTAGCGCGCGAAAAGCCAAACAACTTGACGCCACAACCATGTTTACATACTCTCATGCAAACACTCCTCTCGGCCAATCAGAGCGCGCGTACTGTCTTAGTTATTTTATAATAGATAACAGGCTCACTTTTGATGCCCACATTGCCGATATTGGTACGTATGCTATGTTTTGTAGTTCCCAACCAACAGCTACCACTTGTTTACGGTGGTGCTTGCGATAAAGGAGTGCTTTGCACTTGCCTCGGCAATAAAAAAGGGTCTCTGATACACGGGTATTCCCCGTTCATTGACCCAACGGCTATGCCATGTTGATAAGCCTAAAAAAGGGCGAAACAGCTGTCCATGGCTGCCACTGTCTGTGTGATATGGTTGCCACGGAGTTGGTACGTGTGCTTCAGTTAATGGCATTGAAAATTGTCCTACCATTTAAGAAGCACTTTATCGTGCCTTCATTTTGCCTACCTTAGTTTATTGCAGCCACGTCTGGCACCATTGTGGGCGTAGAAACACTAGCAAGCTAGAGAAAGTGAATGAGCACGCTCTTAGACTTACTTACAAGGACTATTCCAAGCCCTATCACACTTTGTTGAATTTATTCATTAGGCAAAATTCAGTTCTATAATTTTTCCCTCAAAGCGAAAATACTCAAATAGTAAGGTTTGACACAAAATTATGAAGTTGGCAAACACATGACGACATTCATTGCTAAAGAAGGAACTGGAACCTTTTCGTGGCCTAACCACAGAAGCCAAGTTTACAATCAACTGTGCAAAGTTAATACGTATAGTACTCGTTTTCTCGCCCCATAGGCTGGCTTTTCAGATTCTGCCGCGTATTAACTCCTGCTGTGGCCGGGTAGCGGAAAATGCCAGCGTTAAAAAAAACTCATAAGAATGTTTGGACCTTCAAGCGGTGCCGTGTTTGGATCACGGCGAATAATCTCAAATCAAAAACAGGCATGTACTTGGTTTGTACTGCGTTATATAGGTATTGGATGGTTTATCATGATGGACATATTTTGGCGAAACAAGTTGCATACTTTAAAGCTCTAGACAGAGACACCTCAATATTTAGCTCAATAGAAGGAACTTGTGACAACAAAATGCGAAAAATGCATTGTTACAACTTACATAGAAGATGGAACTTGAGCATAAACGTTCGGGCGCTCCCGCACCTATTGAAAGATTGTTTTTGATTGGCTGGGAAAACAATAGGGATTGTCACATAACAATGCCCCTATCCCTGAAAACAATGAAAGTGCAGATTAGAGGGGACCAGTGAAATATGAGGTTTAGAACAGTGTAGGTCTATTGAAACGTTCAAGACTGAGATCTTTTGTTAGTATCATTGTAGTTAAGATTTGCTTTTCATGTTCGCATTTTTCTTTACTTTTCTTATATTGGCTGGGCCACACTTTGCGATGTCGAATTTTCTGATTATTGTGACTTTTTGTTGTTGTTTTTTTTCATGTCGGTTCTAGTGCATCCCAAATTTCCACAAAATTACCAGTCATTGTGGCACAATGACGTGGGATATTGATATGCACCAATAGTGCGATAAGAGTAATAATAACGATGGTGATGATTATGATAATATTGATAATTATGATAATAATGATTGTCTGATTATGATAATGATTGTGGCAGCGTGTTGTGCTCGATGTTTGTATTTTAAAAGTTCTATGAAATATTAGTATAGCGCTCCTTATTCATGGCAATAAATACTAAAATCTCGTTATATCTCTGTTCATATCCTGAAAAAATGGCGAATCTGGCCAAAAACGCCAGAGAGCCGGCGAAAATTTAAATGAGGTTTCAAGAGGTGCTCCTTGTAAAGTGGTGAGGTTGACAAAAATGGAGAATCTAGCTAAAATTTGCCATGGGTTAGGAGAATATTTAAATTAGGGCCTTGGCCGTTAAAAAGGCAAAAGTCCGTTTAAGAAAGGGAAATAGGTTTCAGGCAGCCACGCCGAAAAGGCAACAGGCGCCCTGTGGCTCTGACCATAAGCAGCCGCCATAAGTCTGATCCAGGCGCAGAAGTCAAACTACATTTCCGGTTAAAATTCCCCACCCTAACCAGGCAATGCGGTCAAATTCATTTCTCCCCTGGTACAAGTGATGGTCAAAAGTGCCCAGGGCTTGCCCAGGGGAATGTTGAAGTTTCGAACTGATCGGTGCATGAATCTGGCGCAGAATGGCTCACTTTTCTTTTCACTTTCCCCTGACTATCTGAACGTACGCCTGAAACAGGTTAAGTCCCGGCCCTCTTACAATTTCTCTCTTTGAAGCTATTGTTAAAAAGGGGAGAGTATTTCTTCTTCCTCGACTCAGTTTGACTCAGTAATTGCCATTCATTCCACCTTGCTGTGTTACTTAATTTACCTTCAGTGTTACCATGGCCAAACTAAACACAGGCTATACACTTTTAAATGAATAGTCTTTTGGAATTAAAATTCCAAAATGGGAATCTACAGTAAAAGCCTGCGAGTAAGAATGAACTTGGCCAGTTAGGCCCCTTATATACAGGAACCTGTCTAGCCTTAAGTTGGAAACAGGTTCTTATTTTATAAAACTCGCTGATAAAACAGCCTGTACACTTGGGCAAATAAAGTAAGTCAAGTGACATTCAGGAACCTCCTTGGAGACATACCAGTAGGTGCCTTATCACTCATACTAAAACGTAATGCTTAGATCTTTATGTAAGGAGTAAGCTGAATACCACTAAATGATCCTAAATAATCTTAGCTACAATGTCAATGTTCTTATTTTTTTATTTTTTTTCCTTCAGAAAATAAGAATATTGCCATTTATGTAAGAACCTGTTTTAAGAGTAACTTGGGACAAAGCAGGTTCTCTTTTGACTAGAGCCGGTAGTGTATTGCTTTTCTTTTATGTCATACTAATTAAAACCTTTTTGCCTCGCTGCACCTGCAGAATTCAAAACATTTTTATCCTGAAACGAGTTATAGTCGATTTTCGACTCTTTCTCGGTCCTCCCCTGTTTAGGGGAGGAGCGCAGCGCGAGCTCATTTCCCGAACAGCGGCTAATTTGGACCATTGGGAATTAGCGCTCTATAAATATTGTACATTATTATTGTATTGTATATTAATAATCGAGCCTAAACGAGTTGTCGAGGGCCAACATTATCATTTTCATTTTATCTTTTGGAATAAGAGTATTTTACCTTGTATTTTAACGTCCCTGTTGTTGAGTTCAAGAACTTTGGCTTTTCTTAAGCCCTGGTCTATATATCCTACGTTCTTTTTTTGGTGAGTTGTGGAGTCTTTTCTTAGCAATAAAGAATATTTGCCAACGTTACACACTTCCAGACTGCGACTTGCACCACTGCACGCTCTTTTAAATGCACTTTGTTTTCCAATTTTGCGGCATAAGTATTGTTTTCAATTTCTTTAGGGACTATCAATCTTCCCTTGGGAAAGTGAAAACAAAACTAATGCAAAATATTGTGCGGAAAATAAATTGCATTATTGTGTAGTTTTCTGCTGTTTAGCATATGCAACCTTGCTCTTTTGCCACATTTCTTTTCTTGTGAGTGTCTTTCAAAATGGCGACAAGACTGCCAAACTATTTTTTCTTATTCTCCTCTGCAGTTAGTATTTTCCTTCTTGTCTCTCTGACTTTTTACGACATCTTATTAGCTAAGAGTTCAAAGCGGACAATGAAACCGTCGTTGCAAGTAAACAACACACATTCGCTTGGAAACAACTTAGACGCGATGACAAACATGAATTCATCAACTAAAAACTCACAACTCATGCAACGGGAAAGGACAAAGATAGTTTTACTCGTCTATACCGGTTTTTTTCGGAGAGCAAAGTGGATAGAAGATCGTGATAACTGTGGATTTGAAAACAAGTTTTTATTTGCTGCAGATAAATGTCTCTCAGGTTACTTCGAATTGACCTACGACAAACAGCGATTTGAGGAAAGCGACTTAGTCGTGTTTCACGCTAGAAACATGCCAAGTGTCGATCATCTAAGAACGCTGCTGAAAAACAGGTCCACTTCACAGCGCTGGGTATATGCTTTGTGGGAAAGTCCAAATGCAACACCAGATCCTGCTCCATTAAACGGGCTTTTTAACTCAACGTGGACGTACAGAAGCGATTCAGATTTCTGGTCGCCGTATGGAAGTTACGAGGAACTGAGTGAAGAAGAAAAAATGAATAAAATAAATAACATACCGGACTATTCCAAAGGAAAAACTGAACTTGTGGCTTGGATGGTTGGTCATTGTCGCTCTCAACCTCGAATGGCTTTTGCCGAAACGCTGAAAAAATATATCAAGGTTGATGTGTTTGGAAGGTGTTCCGGAAAATTTGGGCAACAGAGAGGTTGTGGAAATCTTACTGCTTGCCTTAAAACGTTTAAGTTTTATTTGTCATTCGAGAACGTTTTATGTGAGGATTACATCACTGAAAAATATTGGGAAAGGCTTGGTAAGACCCTGTTTTTTTTTAATATCCTTTACAAAATAGTTTCCAGAAAATCCGTTTAGAAATTAAGTATAACTGGACGTTTTGGGTCGTTTCAGCCATAGTTAGTAGAGGCGACTGGTTAGGAAAGCCGGCAAACATCAAAGCTGAAAACAATGGTGCTGTAGGTTATGTTGAAAGCTCTCTGACCGTGCGCAGTCCTTTGTTTTTTGTTCACAAATTGTGACTGAAAAATTAATGCGATGTTTCTAACTGAAAATCGATGTACTGCACTTGTGGGAATTCAAAACTCAGAAAACTCAACATCGCTGTGATAAGTTAATCATGATTTTTTATACATTATCTAACTGCTTGAAATAATCACTGCAAAAAGATTCCGAGGCAAGCTAAGGCAGAATATGGAGGTTCCACTGTATTACCGGATAATATGAACATTTCCAATGTTTACAGACATTTCCTCTACATTCAATCATGCGAGGGGTCACTCAGCTTGTGTTGGCTTCCTGTGTTAGCTATAATTAGAGTAGCGTAGGGTTGTCTAAATTATCATCGGTTTTACAGTAATCTTAAAATAGACCTTTTTACTGATACAGCAGCCATATTGAATTACTTGGATTTAATCCCAGATGCTCGCTTGGTATTAACGCGCGCTTTGGATGTAATAATGATCACCTTTTTCCCGATAAATATACAGTGAAGTTCTCTTTTCGTCCGTGTAAATACTGAGTGAGTGCCCCCCTGGGCACCCCAAAATAACCTTAAATCTAATACATTCAACATGGCCGCCGTATCGGTAAAAAGGTCTCTTTCGAGGTAGTTAATTTAGGAACTTCATAAAAATATCCGCTCAAAACATTAAAATAAAGTAGAAATAACAGCAAACAATGAATAAGGTGCTGTCGATTTGAAGAAGATTTGATAAAACTATAACTAGTAAAAATACCTGTTAGCCTAACAGCTTTTTAAACTTTCTGTTGTCTGCTTTTTTGACACTACTTTGTATTTCTGTAAGTATCTTCTTCGCTAACGTTATGTTCCATAGCGAATGACGGCTAATTGGCATGAACCAGACTGCGGGCCATGATACAGGCCCTCTATCTCATGGAACAGATTTCTGGTACGGTTATTAGAAGGTGACCGCTTAATACCGGTGCACAGCATCTTAGTAAATAGAATTTCAGCTATTGCCGTCTACCGTTTAAATATTGCTCAGCTTGGGATAGTTTTCAAATCATGACTAGATCTTTTTCTTGTGTATTTCAGGTGATATGAATGTCATCCCAGTTGTGATGGGGGGTGCCAATTACTCCAAGCTGGCTATTCCAGGGTCTTATATCAATGTTATGGACTTCAAAACTGTTAAACAACTGGCAGAGTACCTTCAGTATCTGGACAAAAATAACACTGCTTATAATGAATACTTTAAATGGAGACTAAAATACAAGGTGTTTCGCAGCAACCTTGATTTATCAATGTGTCAAATATGTAAATGGTATGTTGCAAAATCTCCGCTTGAACCCAAAGTTTATGATGACCTCAGGATGTACTGGATGCAGAATGGAAGATGTAATGAAAAACGTTTTCTCATCGAAGATATGTGGAAGGAGCATGATACCTAAGAAATGGTCATCCCGGATATTACTAGACATTTACAGTTCTTTCAAATGCAAGGAAATGTCACAATCATGACATGCTTAGGTCAGCTGGAGAAGGTACTTTCAATAGAGAAGAGACATTAATTTCAGTCACAGTTTGTTGGTTATGTGACTCCTTTTTTTAATAGCAGGGGCGTAGCGTAAGATTTTGAAGGTGTTCGCACGGGAAGAACAGGTTAAAGGCACTCAAAACTAAGGGGTGTGTGGGCATGCTCCCCCAGAAAATTTTTAAACAGCTTAGGTCTCGGACGTGCTATTTCCTGCGTTTGGGATTTATGGAGCTTCGAGCTGGGACGGTCGGCGTTAGAGTCCCCAGCCTTCCCATTTTTCTTACTTTTAGTACAACTCAAAACCTTAAACGGCGATGAAACGGCTTCCAAATGGCTCTAGGGGCGAAGAGANACAACTGGCAGAGTACCTTCAGTATCTGGACAAAAATAACACTGCTTATAATGAATACTTTAAATGGAGACTAAAATACAAGGTGTTTCGCAGCAACCTTGATTTATCAATGTGTCAAATATGTAAATGGTATGTTGCAAAATCTCCGCTTGAACCCAAAGTTTATGATGACCTCAGGATGTACTGGATGCAGAATGGAAGATGTAATGAAAAACGTTTTCTCATCGAAGATATGTGGAAGGAGCATGATACCTAAGAAATGGTCATCCCGGATATTACTAGACATTTACAGTTCTTTCAAATGCAAGGAAATGTCACAATCATGACATGCTTAGGTCAGCTGGAGAAGGTACTTTCAATAGAGAAGAGACATTAATTTCAGTCACAGTTTGTTGGTTATGTGACTCCTTTTTTTAATAGCAGGGGCGTAGCGTAAGATTTTGAAGGTGTTCGCACGGGAAGAACAGGTTAAAGGCACTCAAAACTAAGGGGTGTGTGGGCATGCTCCCCCAGAAAATTTTTAAACAGCTTAGGTCTCGGACGTGCTATTTCCTGCGTTTGGGATTTATGGAGCTTCGAGCTGGGACGGTCGGCGTTAGAGTCCCCAGCCTTCCCATTTTTCTTACTTTTAGTACAACTCAAAACCTTAAACGGCGATGAAACGGCTTCCAAATGGCTCTAGGGGCGAAGAGAGAGTAACCCAAGACAAAACAAAAAACGGCAAGTTAAGTCATTTTTATTTCTATTTTGTCAAACAGTGGTATTTAGGACGTATTTTGTTTATAATTTCATACATTCTCTTATAAATTCAAAGCCCAACGAACTCCCACAAGCTTCCCACAGAGTTTGTGCTGGCTGTGGTCCCGGCCAGCTATTCATCCTGTTCCCCGGGGACATACGCCGGCATTAAGCGGGATTTGTTAACTTTGTTCGATAATTTTAAGCCCGGGATGGGGAGATTGGATTGCTTTTGCACTTTCGAAGCAGGATCCCAGGGGGAAGACCCGCGGGATTTGTAAATATCTAAAAATATTTTATAATATAAAGCATTTGAAAATATATTCAAAGAATCTTGGTTCTTCATTACCAGGAAACAAGAGTATTCTCTCCTTTTCCATTCCATGACTTACGCTGAACCTCATTATGTGCAGAAAACAAGTGGAATAGCTTTCTTTACTTATTTGTAATTAACTCCTGATTAACTCTTATATGTATAGTTATAGCAAATAGAAAATTAATTATGGCAAATAGAGCTCTTTTGAAATATTGCGCCTTTCGACTTGGCGGAACACACTTCTTTGCTCCCATGGGAGGGGCGTTAGTAGGTTTTTGTTAAACAATCTTGGTTTTGTAAACGTCGCTGTACTGTATAAATGACCCGGGGGTTCCCCGAGGTCACCCCCCCCGGGATGGCTACTGATAAGTGCATAATCAATTCGCCCCCCAGAAGCAGACACTCACCAGTGACCAGAGTTTCGCTGAGAATTTATCATAATTTGTTCTTTGACAATCTGGGTAAGAGATAAATGCAGAGAACATCATCCCCCTTTAATGCGCAACTTATGGAGTTGCGAAAAAGTATAGTAAAGTTTATTGCACTGTCAGTCAACGATTTCCTTAAGACTTAAGGCTGATTTCCACTGACGCGTTTTTGGCTACGCACGTTAACGCACATAAATTTTAATCACGTCAATAAAATAGAGGCAAGATAAAAATTGCTGAGCTTAAACGAGAAGTTGAGCGAGGTTCAACTTTTACGCTTACGAGCGACCTTTCATGCATTGCCTCTATTTCATTTGCGAACGTAAAATTTTACGCACGCACGCACGCACGTAAAAATTACGCGACATTGGAAATCAACTCTTAGTCAGTTAAAATTGCTGACACAGTTTATAAAATAACTAAGACAGTACGCGCGCTCTGATTGGCCGAGAGCAGTGTTTGCATGAGAGTATGTAAACATGGTTGTGGCGTCAAGTTGTTTGGCTTTTCGCGCGCTAACTGACGCAAGCACAAAATTTGAAAAAGTTTTCGAGTTCAAAACTCGACAA